ATGATCATTTTTTTTTTTTTTTTTTTTTTTTTTTTTGAGATATTATGAAACTTTAATATTTTATTAAGTTTTGTTAGTAAAAACTATAAGAATTTAAATAATCGTTACAATATTTATTTTATCCTGCAATTTATATAATTAATTAAAACTGTCAGAACTATTATTATTTCCGCCAAAATAATTATTTTAGCTTAAAACATTGACTGCAATAGTTTATTGTACTTTTTAGTGTTACATCTGACTAAAGTTTTTCCATTATACATTATTTCTTTACACAGGTCGACCTTTGCCGCGTGTTATGTGGAACATTCGAGGGGAAAACGAGGACACGGCATACGGAATGAGAATTAGTGATACAGCGGTTGCGAATACATTAAGAATAGCTAAAGTGCGCAGGGAAAACCTGGGGAAGACACTAGTATGCGAAGCTTCCAATGTCGCTAATGCCGTTCAACTGTCTACGTCTGTCACCATAAATGTTTACCGTTAGTATCATAAAGTATATTCATTTTAAAGTGCTAAAAAATCAAATGTCAACAAAAATTACAAACTATCCGATAATGTGACGAAAAACAATTGTTTTGTGCTTATACGAAATCTGTTGTGCAAAATAAAATAATGTATGTACTCGGTGTAATTTTTTTTTCGCTATTTTCATGCATAGGTTTGAGTGAGTGTTGAAAAAAGAAAGTAAAAAATCTGTTTCTTTGTCTGCTTCAATCCTAATACGTAATACACGCCTTTTTAGTAAATCGGATTATTCTGACAACCAAGAGTCGTGATGTATACTCTTTAAAATATTTTGAATAAAGAACGGATAATAGTATAGAATGTTTTTTTCGACGAGTACATTAATTCAAGGTTTTTATAATGTATTCATATCAAATATTTTTTACCATAATACTGGTAATTATATTAATAGTGAATACTTACGTCATAGTTGTACAAATGTATAATATATATTATGTATATATGTAAAATCCCAAAAGTAACTGCAAACTAATTATTGGAAAACGTCCCAAATTTTTTAAATATCTGTTGAATGTGTGATGAAGAAAATGGAAACTCTTGTGAGATTCAAAATGGTCAGATAGCTTTATAAAGACGAGTCGTAGACGATAAAAAAACAAATTATAGAAAAACTCGATTGGATAATTTTATAAGTTTCTTGAATTGGCTAAAATTTCGTAGTTTTTTAAGAATTTAACAAACGAATTATTCTATATATTAATTCAAACTCTTACGTGAAAAAATTTGAATTATTCATGACTTTTTCATTCCAAATGTCAGTTACCATTTAAATATATTATATATTATATAGATGCTTATTTACGGCGGGTCTGAACCCTCGTGTAGATAAAATTATAGTAGTAGTGATAGTGAAGAGGTAAATCTCAATACTACTCTACGTTTTAAAAGCTATCTGAATCTCCTTTATAAAAAAATGTCTAAATATGCCACTGATATCAGCTAATATTTACTTTTTATAAACATAGTTAATTATAATATAATTTTTAAACTCTATATTTTAAAATTTTAATAAATTCCTATTGCTGTTAATATATTCCTAGTAATACTTTAAAAATTGTTTTCGACCAGTCATTTATTATTTTAGGTTAATATGTAAATATCAATTAAAAAAAAAGGTTAACGCTATTATAAGGTATTGAGATAGATAAAAAATTAATTAATAAGGGATAATTATTTTAATAGAAATCGAGTGGCTAATATTAAAAGAATCACTCTGTATATCAGTTGAGATTATGATAATGTATATCCTCATGATAATATACATTTTAGGAGATTCAAGTATGTGAACTGTTCAGATGTTTTCATATTTAAATTTATAGAGCTTTCACTTTATAACTTTGGGATATAGTTTTCGTAAGTAACTAAATCTTTTTGTTGAACACTAATCGAATATAACTTCTACGAAGAGTATCGCAAATTACATAAGCCAACAAGCAATTTCTTGTCATCAATATTTAGGCGAGTTCTTTATGAAATTGTGTTGTAGATTCCCCGTCCAGCTTCATATTTGCTCGAGTAAATTAATTTAAATAATTGTATGTTATATAATTTATAAAAAATTCGTCTAACTCACGTACTTCAATCGTTTTTTGTTGATAATAATATCATCCAGTAATTTATATTTTTTCGTCAGGGATACAGTTTATTCGATGTTAATTGTTTTACTATTTCATGTGAATTGAGCAGATAATAGTACCTCTAATTAAAAGTAAATTTAGTTCGCAATAATTTAGTATTCATATATTACAACATAATTAATGTAGAAGTGCTTTTATGGTGCACAATGGAATCCTCAATTAGCGTACATAATAAAATAATGTAAATATTAAAGTGTTTGTTATAAGTTTATCTTTTATGGCTTTATATTAAAGCTGCGACACATTATTGTTCGGTAAGAGTACATAAAAATCAAGTGTTAAATCATAATCAGCAAAACGTTGTAACCCTTACTTTGTAATTATCTGAATAATTTATCAACTAATTGCAGTTCAACCACTTTACCTAGATACTGTTGTTAATTTTCAATTTATTTAATTAAATTATTATAAACACAAAGTATCTTTAATTGTATAATGTTCACTCGTGAAATCAGTTTGATAAGAGCATGCTAAGAGATTAAAAAAAAAACAATCCTCATTCACAATATTTTTATGAATCAAAATGTCTTAAATTACATTCAGCATATTTTCAAGTAATGTAAATGATAAACTGATATTTTTTCCATAAAATAATCAACTATTTGGTTTCTCTATCTAGAAGAAATCACTCATCTATCTATGGCGGTAATGATTAAAAAAATGTCTATAAATTTCTACACCAAATAAATAAATTTTAATATCAAATAGTTTGTTATGAGTTTCAACGTTTAATGTTTAAACTTATAATTAAAAGAGGATTTTGAAAAGTTACCTTCCATAGGATTGAACGTTAAATTTATTTTATTTTATTTTAAAAGTTCAAGAGAACTGAAGACATTCGTGTTCATAAAAAATTTTTGGAATGAAAATATTAAAACAAAGTGAATAAGATAGGAATAATTTAATTTTGAGCTTATTAAACAATTTTTACTTGACTGAATGATGGGTGCGTTATAAAGGTAATTACACCGGTAAACTTAAAAAACTCAAGAAATACTAGGTTAAAGTTATTTAATATTAAAACATTTTATACCTACAAGGTAGCTAAAAACTTTTTTATTCTATAAATACAAAATATTAATGAAGATAAGGCTAATAAAACATTAATTTTTTTAAATTAAGTTTAAATGCATAATAAAAAAGATCTATCAACCATTTGTTTATTCATTAAATTTAGTCAAAATATAACAGTGGCTTACCAAGGTTTAAACTTTTAATCCTAATTGGATTTTACCGTATGTGTTTGATTATAAAAGTTTTAATCTGATCGTTAAATGTATTAAAACTTACAAAATAAATGACTACTGAATTTTCTATGCGAAGCTCACTTTTATAAATTAACTTAAAAAACTAGTTACCAAAAAAAAGCTGTAACATCATAAAATTACTTCTTATAGGTCTTCGTAAAAAATTGTATTCTACGTTAGACAAAATTTTTAAAATAATTATTTTATATATTCAAAGTCGAAGGTAAAATAATTTTATATTTTTTTCATTCTCAATCCTACATAAAATTTTGATTTAAAAAAATATCATTCAACTGAAGAATAAAATCTACCAATTACATCGTAAAAGTGCATTTATATTTTCTCTTAAATAAACATTTTTCATTGATTATCATATTAATCATGTTTTATTTTTACAGTTAAACCACTAAGTATTTCCCTCACAGGGGCAGAACAAGCGTTCACATCAGGTGAACCAAATAGCTTAGAATGCGTGTCATACGGATCTAGGCCAGCTGCCAATATAACGTGGTACTACAACGGACGTGAAATAGATTACGAAACTAGGAGGATCAAGGTATACAATAAGCTAGTCTAAAATTACAATTTGTCCGACGACCGGCAATGCTGAGTCGTTACTCAATCGGTTAAGGACTATAGGTTCTCCAAGATTTACGTTGACGACCTTTCACTGGAAATCAAAGTACTTTTGGACCTTTAAAGGTCAATACGACTCCGGGAACTTCTCCAAGTTTCCTTTTGTTTTCTTTCTATATATTTTAGTCGGCTAAAAATATTAATGGGATGTTTTCCAATAGTGTTCCAATTCTATATTTGAAATGCTATAAAATGTACATTATTTGTAATAAAAAATTATAAAAAATGTAATAATAAATTATTAGATAGTAAAAGACCCTTTATTAGATGATCCTATTTTATTATATTTGCTTTTGCGCTTTACTGAACAGATAGAATAATGAAAACTAAGTACATATTTTTATGATATTTATATTTTTAGTTCATTTTGCTTTTCCATCATTTTATAAATTATAATTTTCTAATACTTTGATTATAGAATTCTGTACTTCGTAGTGCATCTCCCTTTATTTTATGAATTTCCTATGTTTTCTGTAAAATGTCTGGGAAACTATTAAGTGGAAATCGATGTTACACAGTGGGTTTATACCAGTTATTAGAGATATAGAAATATTGAAAATACTGAAGCACTTATTCTGAAATAACACACCAAAAATCTATTTAAAACTAAATTACAAAGAAACATACAAGTTCTTAAAATTTAATAACCTAATTTAATTGATTTTTAACAATAAAAAAGATTTTAATTTAGTTTTTTTTTCTAATATTAATTTCTAGATAATTAAATTGTAAGTATTAGATATATGTGAAAATGGTAAATCTTTTAACGAAACTCTTTTCACGTGTATAACTATAGTTTATTAAATGAAAGAATAATAAACTGGTGTTTTTTGTAGGTAATTGAAAACTTTAATATGACTTGGAGTACTTTAAAAATTATACCAAACGATGATAATGACTTAAGTGTAATAACCTGTGAGGCAAGTAATTCATACTTTCCAGCTTACTCTTTACAGAAGCAAGTAACACTCCACGTACACTGTAAGAGTTAGAATGACTGTAGTTGACATAACAAATTACATTTTATGTTTTTTTTAAGATCCACCGAGATTGCAAATAAATCTCGGAAGAAATTTAAACGCATCCGATATTAAAGAAGGGTCAGATGTATACTTTGAATGCATTGTCAAAGCATCGCCGGCTATAACTAGACTAGAATGGGATCACAATGTATGTTTATTGTTAAACTAAGAAGAATTATGTATTTATGCTAAGCCATTCAACTTATTTGAGAAGAACCATTATTACATTAAAAAGTATCAAATATTTTTATTGAATTTTAGGGCACAGAAGTCGGACCTCATAGTAGTCGAAAGATAATTTATAGCAATCAAACGTTGGTTCTACAATCGATAACACGACATGGTTCAGGGAGTTATCGATGTATGGCCATTAATGCGAATGGAAAGTCTGTTAGTGATATTTATATGCTTGATGTAAAATGTAAGTTAACTTAATTATTTAAAGAAAATGCAACATAAAAAAAAAATCAAACTACAAAAAAACCTAAGAATTCTTCAAATAACACTTATTATTTTTATTGAAATTTTGATCATATTTTTTAGTTGAACCAACATGCAATACTGATCAACAGCGAGTATATGGCGCTCACAAAGGTGAAACCGTGTGGATAAAATGTGATGTGAACAGTAACCCCTCAGCTTTGTCGTTCCGTTGGGTTTTTAATAGTTCCATTTCAGGGCTTACTAATGTGATAACTTTAGAAAAATCATCGCCTATAATTAAATTCAAAGTTAATAACTTTGGTATGATGCTTTGTTGGGCTACCAATTCATTAGGTATCCAATCACAGCCTTGCATTTTTCATGTTGTTCCAGCAGGTAAAAAAAAAAAAAAAAACTATGTACAAAAATGTTAATTATTAACACTTTTGATTTTAAAAATCACTATCATAAGAAACGCTTCGATGCAAATCTGNAAAAAACCTAAGAATTCTTCAAATAACACTTATTATTTTTATTGAAATTTTGATCATATTTTTTAGTTGAACCAACATGCAATACTGATCAACAGCGAGTATATGGCGCTCACAAAGGTGAAACCGTGTGGATAAAATGTGATGTGAACAGTAACCCCTCAGCTTTGTCGTTCCGTTGGGTTTTTAATAGTTCCATTTCAGGGCTTACTAATGTGATAACTTTAGAAAAATCATCGCCTATAATTAAATTCAAAGTTAATAACTTTGGTATGATGCTTTGTTGGGCTACCAATTCATTAGGTATCCAATCACAGCCTTGCATTTTTCATGTTGTTCCAGCAGGTAAAAAAAAAAAAAAAACTATGTACAAAAATGTTAATTATTAACACTTTTGATTTTAAAAAAAGCAAAGTAAAAAAATATAATGAGCTTTATCATTCCAATACAGGGTTATCATGATTTCATTAGATAATTTCTCACGTAATATCACCAAAAGTATAACGGTAGTTAAAATTTTTTTTTTAACTTTTAATTATCATACACACTTTAATTAGCACAAAAAATATATAGTTTTATCTCCTCTTCTTTTAATTTAAAAATTGAATCAACTTTAATTTTGCTAAATAATTTAACTTAAAAAATTACTAATTGATAACAAATTTTGAATCAATATTTCGGAAGTTAAAAATAACGAATGGAGGAAATGAATCACGGTCTGTTTATTTTTATCTCCAAATATTTCTAAATCACTCTTCTCATCAACCCTAATTGTAAAAATACTTATTATATTTTTTAAAAATTCGCTTTTCTCGACACTTCAACTTAGAAAACTAAACTAGTATAGTTAGAACAATATTAACTATTCATAATTTTTAAATCAAAAAATGAAATTTGCTTTATGTAAATAAATACTTACTGAACTTCCCAATCATTACGATTTAATACGATAATGTATTTAGCGTATACGATAGATTATGTCTTTGTAAAAATTGTAATTATATTAGTTCGAATTATTATAAAGAAAAATAAATAAATGGCTTTAAGCCAAGCATAAATCTAACTTGGATAATTTATGGTTCAGCATTTTCCATACTGTTATTATTTTATTTTAAATGTTTTTAAAGAGGTCACGATTTTTTATATTGTTTATTCAGCCGAAAACTTAAAAATTCTCCCTTAAATCCTCGATTGCCCCATTCTTTTAAGAGTTAACCCCTTTGTTGTTTTATTTATTTCGATAACTTCGAGATTTATATCCTTAAGTGAAAACAAAATATATAGCAACGCCTACTCTAATTGACTTTTTTTACTTAATTAGAGTCACTTTTTAATTGTTTAATAGTACATTAAATTAGTTGCTTAACATTATTTTATGTATAAAAACTTTAATGACATAAATAACTTAAAAAAATGTGCGTTTATAATGTATCATAGGGTCTTTATTAAAAAAAATCAAAACATAAACAAAATTTATCGAGCCTATCGCTTGTTTCGTCTATTTTTTAGTAATTTATGCAAAACCATATTTTTCACTTGTTTAAAAACTTATTACTTCACTTCTTTAAGAACTATAGAAGATTTTTTATTATTGTTTAAACAGATTTTAATCTAATAATACATTTATTAAGGCCTGATTTTCATATAAATTAAAAGTTTTTTTATTTTTATTTTTTAGAGAGACCAGGTTCTCCGCGAAATTGTACTCCTATAAATATTACAAGTACAAGGTTTACAGTCTTTTGTGAACTCGGTTACGGCGGCGGTTTACCTCAACATTTAACAAGTAACGTCGCCATGGCGGCCCGGCCAGATTTAATGATAGCAAATTACAATGGCCAAGCTGGCCTTTCATACATTGAGGCAACTGGATTACGACCGTCCACTCAATATGTAGCAACAGTGTATGCAATAAATGCTAAAGGTACAAGTATCCGACATATGCGAGTTTATGTAGAAACCGCACCCAATCCTAAGGACCCTCGAGTGGCTGGTTAGTATTTATATTACATTAAGTTAATGGTATAATTAGGGTTTCGTCTTGGGAGATATACATTAGAAATTTTTTAATTTCCCTCAAACGAAAAAAAATAATATTTTCGCAGTATAATTATTGCTGTCGCAGTAATTGTCTGCCTATAATTACACAATGCATTAAATTTAATTCAAAAATAATATTCATGAAATATTATAATAATATAAATTGAATCATATTTAATCTGGTTATAGAATATTTATTGAGTTAAACTCTAATTGTGGTCGAGGTTTTGTTTTCCTGCGCAAAATATACTTTTATTGGTTTATGGTAACAATAATACTTATTGTGTATTAGAGAAATTATAAAAACAACAAGGATATTTAATGAAATAAAACTATTAAAATGAATTATTTGACCGACAAAGTGATTAAGTTTACACGGCGAAATGTGTAGGCAATTGTGAAACAAGGGTGCCTCTTTTTAGTACTTCTCCTTTCTAAATATAATGTAAATAACACTGAATTTCTAATTTAAAACATTATTTTACTCTAAAAGTTGAAAAACTTTCAAAACACTATTAACTTAAATTTGTTGTAAATTGACTTTTAATTATCCAATTAAAGTAATGTATATATATCCAAGGCTTTTTTATAATATTATTATTGTAATTAAAAATGTTGGTATTAATAATACAAGAAAAACTATTATTAATCTTCCGAAAAACAAAAATCTTGATCTAAATAAAGTATTAATTTCTAATTACAATTAATAATGACATATTTTTGTTCTATAAATTACATCTGAAGTTACGCTTAAAACTTTTTCAATATATTGTTTAATAAATATTTTTAATTAAAAATGTAAAATGTAACGGGTATATTATACCACAATATGTTTTTTTATAAAATAAGTTTTTAGACAAAATTACTTTTAATAAATATTTTATGCCAGCATGAAGTTGAGAAATTATTAAAATCTCTGTGATAATAAAAAGAACGTAGGAGTATAAAATATTTACATATTATAAAAGACAAATTTCTTTCCACTTAAATAGAAATGAATTTCTAGGTTGGTTATGAAGCCACAATATCTTTTATTTTGTATAATTAAGCATCTTCTCTCCGTCAACAAAATTAATTACACTATTGTGTAAAATACATGTCGAGTAATTAAATGCATGAATTGAACATTGTATAGTTAACAAGTACTCTGGGAGTATAATACATCTAGATCTTAATAACCAGCTATCTGTAACTATGGGAATCAAGTAAACTAATTAGTGTGATTAGAATAGTATTATAACTAGAGAGTTCTCTCAATATTAAGTTAAAGTCAAGAGTTAAAATTATTATTAAAAAAAATGTACTGAGTATTCCTTTGAAAGAATTTCTTTTAAAGGAAAAACTTATTAGAACTATTATCTTTATTATTAAATTTTTTTTTATGTTTAATAATTCAAGTTTAATTTTAAAAAATTAATAAAAGAAAGCGCTTAAAAAAGAACTCGGCTAAATACGTTTTAAACGTATTTAATGTGAATAAAAGGACGCAATATATATTAGTTTTTTATTGTATTTTATTAATAATACTTAGTTATTTGTTATTATTCTTATTTTCAACAAGATCTGGAATTTATAATTTTTTCATGTCTGATATGAGTGCTCATAGAGATTTTATGATCTACTTAGGTTATTGTTTATTTTTAAGTATTTGATTTTATTTATTTATTATTCTTTGAAATATAATTGAAAAAATCAAATTAAAATTTCATACCATGTATCATTTTTCTTCCCATTTTAACTTTACCTTACAAAGGTAAAACAAGAAATATAATTTCAGTAAACTTTTAATTTATGTAAATATATTAAATTGTAAATTTATAATCTAACATTTAATTCAACAGTATATAAATACTTTTTGTGGTACATACATCTCTAAAATTTTATAAAGTGATGAATCGGAAATTTTTGTTTATTTAAAAGATTTTACATACAAAATTATTTAAATAATGCGTATTCTTAATTTTTATTTGATTATTATCAAAACAGGAAAGTCGATAGTTTTTTACATTTTATATGCATTACAAAATAATTAATTTTTTTTTTATGAGTTTCATATAATGGCGGTTATTACTTTTAACTTCTCACAAAAATTAGTCCAATAAATAAATGTAAAAATTAAATTTAATAACTTTAAAAGTGAAGTAAAACTTGTAAACGTCAACCGCTATTTTATGTTATACACGGGACCCTAGACTAAGTGTTACATGGACCCAGAGGATCTCTTAAAAGATTGGTCCTTCCTCTACGGAAGTACCATGATAATCGCAATTAAAAAAAAATTGCAGAAGGATGTAATATATTTTTCATATTGTAAATGTGTCCATAAAAAAAAAATTTCTAAATTTTTGAATAAGATAATTTAGCAGGTTATATTATTAAATATTAATTTTATCTTTGCTATGTAAACAAAAAATATTATAATTGGCCTCTACTTTTTGAGTATAATTGCATGTAACTAATTACTTTTCTTTGTTTTATATAAAAAAATTTTAATTATCTATGGTCAACGTTAAAAAATAAGTAAATCGATTTTACAGTAATTATTTACGGAATAATTACTCAATAGACATATTTTAACATAATAAAAATATAAATACGAATGATCAATAAAGTGCATTTAAAATAGTATCATTAATAAGATTCAAGCTGAAAGCAAAAATTTCAAATTAAAAAAATATATTTACTGTATTTTAACGTTTATATCGCTCATACCTGAATTGAAAATCCATAGGCCTTAGAGACCATGGATCATGGAGACCACTTTAAATAGATGCACTAATGTATTTTTAATTTAAACAAAATTCTAAAATTCTAAAATTTAAATTTTTTGTTATATAAAATTTACAAATTAATTTTTTTTTTTAACAAATCTTTTTTAAATAATTTTTTTTTTCTTTATTAAGCCTGGGAATTATTTTGAAAAATCATTTCGTTGACTGATATTGAAGTTTATATTTTCAAAATGTTTGTTTTTAATCAGTCGGAAATCACTTAATAAAATATAGCTAATGGATATCAATCTATACTGATATTCATTAGCTATAATTTTATAAAACGAAAATTCTACGTACAAGAAATAAGCTTGTGTACTTTAGCAAATCACCTTAGATCAAATATATTTTTTAAGCATTTTACTAAACGATGATTATGCAACTGATAATAATAACAAACTAATGATTTTTGTTCCAAAAATATCTTGAAAAAATGTTTTGAATGAAAATTTATTTTTAATTAAAAGGTGTCAATACTATTTTTTTTACTTTGATAATATAATATTACATTTTTTTATTTTCCCCAAATTTCGATATATCCATTATTTATTTTACTTTTAAACTGATCTAGATACCTTTCCTGTTCCTTTCCTGATGAACTTACCTATTTGGTGACCCGAGGCTAGATTTTTTAATGAGTTCCAAGAAAAGTTTTTTTATAAAAACTGTAATGAATGTTTTTATTACAACACAAATAAAAACTTCGTGGATAAATAAGAATAACAATAAAGCTTCGATTTTTTATGTAATTTGACAATTAGGCGAAATTTTAGACAAGGTTTTATTATTTCGAGGTCCCTATTACTCGTTGTCCTGAGAGCCATTTCCCCCTAAATGTGCTTTTCTAACCGCGTACATTTTAGTACAAATACAATAAATCAAAATATCATGCAATTACATACTTCCAGTTATGTATGATGAAAATTCTTTTAAATTATCTTTGTTATAATAATTAAACTATCTAAGGTATCAAATCAACGTTACGTCAATACATAATAATATTGATAATTACAACATAACATTGTTTCAAGTGTTTCTTACCTTTGGGATCATTTATACACAAAGCATATAGAATTTTCAACAAATATTAAAAATTTTAAATGCTTATTTAATGGTGACCAGGGCCGTATTTAGGGGGTGGCACGGGTAGGCATATGCCTGGGGGCGGCAAAATATTTTAGCAAAATTTATTTTAAAAATGTAATGAAAAAAAAATAGTAATTTCATTTTATTTAATATTTTTGTAATTTGTATTTTAGAAAAATGTTATGAACTACTGTTTATATAGCTGTATTATTGTTACGAACTAAGATATGTAGTATATATATAGTATATTTTTGGTCCGTCATTATTGTCTACAATCGATTATAATAGCTAAATGATAAAGATATTCAGAAAAAATCTAATTTTAGAAATTGGTCAACTATTTTACCGAATAAATCAAAACAATGATAATTGTATAGTGATATCGATATTCAATGGTATTGCATTGTAAATTGTGACAGACGACAGTATTAATATATTTTTATTAGTACGTTATACACTTATGACTTATATTATATTTAATTCTTATGTGTTTTGCTTATGCGTCATGTGTGTACTGTGTATGCATTATGAAAGTGTGATGAATTGATACATTGATGATTGTCATATGATATATTACTATACAGGATGTTCCTGTAAGTTTCCTGACTTACTGAACACCCTGTATAACATTTATATTATATTATATAATAAGGTAAGTTTTATTATTTTTACCTATACGGTTTAAATTATTTGTAATTGTTACTAGTCTAGTATAAATAATAATAAATATATTATTTACAAATTGTGTTAGTTAAAACTGCATAATATACATAAATATTTTTTTTATTAATATTGGTTTTAAAATTATCTATTGAACATTTGTAAGTATAGCATTACGTATGTTTCTTAGTACTCCAGCGGCCAATTGTACCGCAGAGCGGTCATTTTCAACACTTAGACGTATAAAAACATATCTAAGGTCAAATATATCCACAGACAGGCTAAATGCATTGGCAATTTTAAATATTGAATCTCAATTAACTCATCAGATTAATTATAGCGACATAATTGAAGAATTTGCCAATAATCAAGCAAGGAAAAAAATACTTTAAAAAAAAGAAAATTGTATTTTTAATTATGTTATAATTAAAAAAAAAAAGTGTATTTTTATTGTTATATTTTGTTTAATTTGTTAATTAAAAAAAGTATTAAATAATTCTCATTTATTAATTATTAAGTTGGATTTTAATATTAAAGAATCAATTATGAACGAAATAATTAGTGTTATATTATTATTATTATTGATTGTGATGATGAGGGGGGGTATAAATTATAAGCCCGGGGGCGCCAAATTTTTTAGTACGGGTCTGATGGTGACGTATATTGCTTATAATTACTGAAAGCAGCAATTACAAGAAATTACTTTTTAAAATGATAATACTATTTTCAAAAAATAATTATATTACCCAACCTTATTTATATAAAATTATTTACACGTACTTATTGTCATAACATTTCATGAACGTTTTAACAATGATGTTAAGTTTCCTTCAATCAATTTTATATAAATCACATTTGAGTTGTTATATTTCTTGTGAATTCAAATAACCAAATTGAAACTTAATGAGAATTAATTAATTGTTAATTCAAACTGATTAACTTTTATTAATTTAAATTAATTAAATATTACATTTTATCTTGAATTATATTTAAAAATAAGTGTATCTTATGATAGTGGTTTTAATCACTGACAGATATCATCTATACGTTTCCCTCGTCCACACTGTGCTACCGTTTTTTATATTTATAATTATCATATTTTTTAATTAAAAAGATAAGTAAGATAAATATTTATTAACCTAAACATTAGTTATAAATTATATTATATAAGAAAACATGTAAAAATTCTTAACCTACATTCGAAAAGGTATTATTCTAAAAGAAAAACATTTATGCATATCTAATAGTCCTTATTAACATCTTGATATACGAGTATTATACGAGCTCTGAGGTATGGAGCAAAGCTCCCGTGATGATATTTAAAATCGAGATTTTTCATATCTTCCGTGTCAAAATCATTTGCCAGCCAATCGACAAGAGTGAGAGTGCGATAGAGAGTAGAGAGTAGTCATAAAAATACTGCTGCATATATCTTACTTACTCCTATTTATATAAAATGTTAAATTACTAAAGCTGTAACATTATGAACAGACAATATAATACGTTTTTAACATGATATACAGAAACAACCATATAGTAGCAATCATTTTTTTTATTAATAATACTACACTGAAATTAATTTCTTACGTCAATTATAGATTGATTAATTTTCGTATTATAAATTGTAATAATAAAATAAGGTATATATATGTGGGTGTAGTCCTAATTGGAGTGTTTGGGTATCTGGTCAATTGGTTAGCATCGAGGTTCTATGAGGTTTGTAGAGTCCCAGAATTTAGAACAATAATGACAAGTAGATATAAAATAAATGATTAAGGTTCCTCTTATATAGATATTATAAGCTCAAGTATTCTTGTAGTGGCTACGGTATTGATCTCATGTGTGACACCCAGTCGTAGCATTAACTTGAATATGCTTTAGTGAGAATACTGAGGTATTCTTGGAGTGGCGGAGGCCTCCTCTCTGGCAGTCAATCGAAGTATATGACCAAAGACTAATTAGTTATTAATAATTAAATTAAATGATATTTGCTTTATATCAATATATTGTTTTACTGTTCTTTACTCAGATTATCATTTCCAATTAATTGGGTTAATGTGAATTAATTTAATTGATGTTTTAATTTCAAAATGTTCAGTGACGTTCAAAAATAATCAACATCCTTTTCAATGTCTTTTATACTTTTCGAATTTACGGAAAGATAGATAAATAAGTTTTAAACGCAGAAATATTAATAAGTATTGCATTAATATGTACCGATGACCACACGGTGTCGCGCTAGTTAAGAAAAATAAATTCCTTAAGAGAATTCTGAATTCTATATTGAATTCAGACTTTCAAAATGGCTCTCTTTCTGAAAATCGGCGCCTTTTTATGTTATTATTTTAATCGATATTAAAAATTGATTATTAATTTTTCATTGATAAATGTAAGATACGTAGTGCAATGCATTTGTTCATATTACAACAAAATACCATTATAATATACGTAAAAAGAGGAATCGTCGATATAATTTAAGATTTAAAAACGAATAAAAGTTTATTGAGTAACTTCAACACAATAATTATCTTAAAGCTTTGAAATTGTTCAAATAATTAACACAAAAAAGTTCTTCGTAAACAATGCAAATATATACAAGGATACAATTGTTGGATTTTTTTTTTTTTTTTGTAACTCCATTTTATGTATTCTGTGCAAATAATATGTACGATAGAAATAAATGTTAATCTTAAGATCAATATAACAGAATGCTACAGGAATATATTTAACTTTTAAATAATTTCAGAATAAACAGGATATATATATTAAAATGTTAATTTTAAATATTAATATAAATAAAATATTATTTATATTTATTTCATATGGGGTTTTACAATTTAATGAAAAAACGTCCAACGGGAATACAACGAAACTTTTTTTTTGTATATTTTAAATGTAAGGTAATAGTTACCTTTTATGCTTATGAAATAAAATCTCAAACTAAACTAAGTTTACAATTGTGTTCCAAAAAGTTTAACTTTTTCAATTATCTATTTTTTTTTTTTTTTTACTAAATTGAAAAAAGCTTATACATTTATTTAGTTATATATAGTTAAATTTTGTAAGCTCCCGAAAGAAATAACAATGATTCTGGTCACGTACAATTTTGCTATTATTTTATTCATTTCCAGTGCTTTAAATGACTTATAGTATTTCTCGAAAATACCGCCATATTTTATATATTGTTATAAAACTTAATTTTATATTATTTTTGATAAATATTTGACAATCATATGAAAACTACTGCAATATTCTAGTTTGTTAATTTTTATATACCTATCACTAATTATAAAATATTTCTTTTAACTTAGTGTAAATAATTAAAAATAAAGTACATTATTATTTTAATCGATAATTTGATAAAATTATTACCGATTCCCGTGTTTTTTGTCAGGAAAATTAAAATAAACTAATCGTATTAAATATACATTTAATTATATAAATGTCAGCTGCTGAATTATTTAATTTTTTAGTTTTAACAATTTCATAAATTCAAATTATGATTAAAAATATTAAAGTTTAAGTTTTGGTAACGCAATTCGTTTACTTTGAGTGAAAAAAATCCTTAATAATAAGTTCAATTAAACAATTCATACTCTAAGTTTATATTTTTTGTCTGTATTATTTTCAAAGGTGATTCAACCAGCACTGCTACTCGGTTCTCAGATGCTGCATACATTGGCATTTTTTTACTCGGCTGTTGTATGGTTGGAGCATGTGCCATGGCCGTTGTATTTGCAAAACGGCTAGCGTCCAACGTCCGCAGAAGTCCATCAGTATTCCAACAACGACCGACAACTGTCATGGCCCGAGAGGACCAAGGAATTCGATTTGCAGGAACTAAGGGTAGTGCCGACCGGTGTCCAGTTGTTTCAAGTTAGTAAGAATGTTAATAGGGAAAAAAGGTCTTTCAAGAAAAAAAAAGTTAAAATTCAACGAACGATACTATACACATAGTAAAATATCACCTCAAAAAGATGGATAGACCTCTTTTTTATACTTGTTATAGCCTACTGTATTATTAATACAGCTGTTACCATTCTCTTAAAATCAATACGAGAAAGTTAAGTACGTTAGAGATCCATTAAATTGGTGTTAAGGTATTTTTTAGATTAGTATTGATTGATATCTAATAGTGATTAAATCACTGTCATAATACACTCCAATGCGTATTATGCATAATATATTTTTAAATTTAAAAATATCATATCTACCAAAAATTATAAAGTTTTTGACTTTAGAGGTTGATTACTCGTAGAGGATCAATCACTGGAATGTTTTCCGTTTTTTTATCATACAGGGTGATTTTTTTTATCATAACCCACTCAATTACTTACAGAGTAATAATAATTTAAAATTTTTTTTTTATTATTATCTTTAGTTACACATTATTCTTGAATTATTAACTATGTAATACTTTTTAAGTTCATCCCTTATGCCTGGTAAGGGTGTCAACTTTGTTTTTTTAAATGGTAACACATATTTTTAATTTAATAAAATGTTTGAGTTTTTAATTTAATAGTAAATGGCATAATCATTTAAAGTTTCAAATTTTTGAATTAATATACAGGTATAATACACAAGGGATTACAAATACAGGTAGCTAATTGGTTTTTTATAACATCGATATTAGCAGGTACACAGCATTGTTATTATCAATTGTAGTAAGGCACATTGTTATGAGTTTATAAATACACTAACTGACAATACAGAAAGTATATCTATTGATAATCATAATTGATAATAAACAATCCGTGACTGAGACAGCAATGTCATAAAAATCCAATTAGCTACCTGTATTTACAATCCCATGTGTATTATACATGTATATTAACTCAAAATTTTGAAACTTTAAATGTTTATATCTAATAAACAAATTAAGTTTCATTAAAAATTCAAATGCCATTTACTATTGAATTAAAAACTCAAACATTTTATTAAATTAAAAATATGTGTTACCATTTAAAAAAACAAAGTTGACGCCCTTACCAGGCATAAGGGATGAACTTAAAAATTATTACATAGTTAATAATTCAAGAATAATGTGTAACTAAAGATAATAATAAAAAAAATTTTATAAATTATTATTATTCTGTAAGTAATTGAGTGGGTTATGATAAAAAAATCACTCTGTATATTACATTAAAAAAGCTTTAATTTGAAATTATTTAAGCTTATGGTATAAGCATCCCAGATATCGAGATTTCGTATAATTTTTCTTTTTTCGTCTTAAAGTATATTGTAATTTCTTTAATTTGATGTAGACTATTTATAATATAATTAAAAATAAAAAATGTTTGATATGATTTTTAAGCCCCCACACAGCTGCGCATCAAAGCTAAAATAAGTATTCATACTTTCGAAACATATTGAAAGTTATAGTTTTCATAAAAACTTTTTCCCAAAATCATAAAAGAGAGTTATTTTTTAATAAAATTTAAATTTCTTTACATATAAGATATATTATTTAGAAAATATTTTACTATAATAATAGAAATAAATAGTAAATAAATAAAACAAATACCGTTTAGAACTTTAAAAATAACTTTTTTATTTTAAAATATTTTGTGAATATAAAGGTATTTACTTATTTTCAAATTATAATGTTGCTAAAAATATTTATGAATCGTATAACTTAAAAAAAATTAATAAGATATTATTATTAAATTGAAACATGGGAATAATGTAACATACTCAATACCATCGATATCAATCAAAAGCGTATTAATCGTTGTTGTTCCATATTAGTTTCTTCCACCTTGTTGGGGTCTTCTGTTGCCTTGATTTTGATTTTGATTTTGAGAGGCTGGTCTGTTAGATTGATTTACTTGTGTGCGGTTTGTGAAAAAGATGCGAACGTCTTGAATGGCCATATTTGGAGTTAAAAACTGCTGTAAAGTAGCTATAGCATCCCTTCCAACGCGGTCAAATGGGAAACCCATAGACCTGGCATCTGGGTAACGAGAATTCAAAATACCACAGTAACTTGCAGCATTATCACACGATTGAGTATTTCCGCTGTTCTCTACCTACATGTTTAATTAATTCGAAAATCAATTAATATTTGAGTAAAATATTAACAAAAAATGTTTGTTTTATTTTTTTAGTATTTGAATAACTCTACTGGATAATATTTATGCTTTTATCTCACTATATCTTAGTAACTCTATCTCAGCAATTTGACTACTAAGATTTGCATGTAACATTGAAATGTATAAATTTAATTACTTCCATCTAGTTACATCTTATTTCAATTGTTGTTCTCCTAAGTATTACACACATGAGGAGATATGAGATAGTAATTATGCACGCATAGTTTATATATTTCAATCTCACTACGTAAGTAAACATGGTCATGCGATAACTAATGAAAATACATCATGTCTAAATAACATAATAAATCTATTGCTAAGATTCATTGAGGAAACGTTTCATATAAAGCAAAAATAAAACTAATAAAAAGTTAAGTTATAGAACTGGAACTTTTCCATCCGTTATGGTTGCATCACATATATCACGTCGAGATTTTCGAAGATCGATTCCGTTATATGAAGCTATGTATTTTTTCTCACCTTCTTAAGCGTAAGCAGCTTATAAAGAATTATATTTAACAAAGTTCATTTTGTAGATTTTCGTCTAGCTTATGTGAACTTATTGAAGAAACAAACAAATCAAAGTTTTGTACAAAAATTGATTGAGGTAAAATAAAGATATAGAGGAAACATTCAAGTGTTATGAACATTAAAAAAATTGAATTTATCACAATACAAGGATCTTTTTATCGAAAGACAACATTAATAACATTGTTAGAAAGTCAAATTTAATTGCCCTAAGTCCGCACATTACGCTTGGTGTTTGGGACGAAATAAAATTAACTTATTGTAATGGAAACCAAACTTGACAAAAATAGTATTTATAAAAGACTGTTAATACTACTATTTCCTAAAATTGGACAATGCTGTTTAAAAAAATACTTAACCGTTGAATTCTAAAAAAATATTTTAATTGTATCACGTATTATTACCGTATCGTTAGCACCATTTGACACCATAACGAACAGTTGACAGGCGAATCCTTCCGCATTACCCTTGGCGATAAGCATGTGTTGCGGCCATCCACATCCACAGAAATTGAAAGCTTGACCGGCAGATGAATTATTTTCAGCCCTGTTAATATCGACATTTCTGAAAGTTTGTTCATATGGTATGGTAACAGATGATTCTATCGATTGGCGATTGATTTCGTTCCTTCCTCTTTGCACTAATTAACAGAGTTGAAATTATCATTTCAATAAATGTTTATTCAGATATTCTATTAAAATATATGTATTTATTTTATTATTTATCAAGCGTATTGAACTTTCTCTTTCAGATAAAAATAAACTAACCAAAATAAACTTACACTGTACGCTAAATTTGTCCAATTCTACCATTAATTTCCTCTGTTCGTTGAATAATATTGGCAGACCACGTTCATCGTATCTAGGTGCCATAAATAATCGAACGGTACCCATGCGCTGATTTCCGTTGTTTTGAACCTTTATAATTAAACAAATAATTTGATGTTTAAATAATTGATTTCCATAACTCAAATATATTAAATATTTTACTCCTTATATACACCAAAATCGAATTGAAATTTAATATGAACCATTTGACTCTATTGTTTATCCTTTTAACAATATATTAATATATTTATAATGTAACTCATATTTACCACAATTTTGTACGTGAAAGGCGTGTGTTGCAAATGAGTAACACGAGCTAGTAAAGGACCACGTGGCAGAAAGTCTATACCTCTTGATAGATCCAATGTACTTTGTTGCCAGAACGTCGTAAAAACATTTCTCTGTGCTCCAGTGGTGTTCACTTCTACGCTCTGCACTTGTACGTTTTCAAAACCCAACTATAGTAAAAACAATTGATAGATAAAATAAATAAAAAATTACTTGAGTTTTAAAACTTACGGTTTGAGCATTATAACTTGGTAAAGTAGATTTAAACTCTTGGAAGATGTCATCAATGAATGCGTGTACACGATAAAATACCGGATCTCGCATAGCTGTTGCAGGATCTCCAACTACATTGAAGTCTTCCTACAAATATTCATTTGATAATTACTAAGCGGCAATAAATAAACCACAAAAAATCAGTAATCATAAACTCAAAAAAAAAAAAATTTAATAATATAAAATAAAAAAATTTCGAAAATTAGCGATTTTTAAATTTGTAATTTTTTTGGAGGTTTCCCCCATTTACGGGGAACGAGGGAATTTTTTTCAATTTTTGAAGGTAATGTCTTCGACTAGATACGATTTGTGATCTTTTGACATATCATTGAAAGAAATCAGTTCAGTGAGAGCTGAGAAAAAGTGGTAACAGACAAAAAAAAAAAAAAAATAAACACATCTTAGTAAAACCAATACCTTCT